TCACTTAGAACTATCATCTCTGTTAACACAAAAAGTGTAATGCCGCAATCAGGCAAAGAGCAGAGAAAGAATCTAGCAGCTTGCCAGGTAATGGTAATTTTATAATGGGATACTTGAGGTGGGTGCAATTTTAAGGGTAAATATGAATGGACTTCTGTGATAACAGATCACCTTGATTTTTAATTCAAAGCATAGAGTTACAAAGCAGTGCACACCAAAACTATTTGAAAACCAAGCATTTGCATTACTAACAGTTTCCAATAAAATACCTAGTGGAATAGGTATGATGAGCCATGTGGCATTTTATACCCCATTGATATTTTGGTAGATAGTCATAGCTTCATTTGAATTTGAAATTAGTAAGATATACTTTCTTCCTATTTGTTGCCAGCATAAAGCAATTTTTAAAAAGGGGGGGGGAGGGGGCTGGGCATTGTCCTGCCCTATGAGGCACACACAATTCTCAGCTGAGCTAATAAGAACATCCTGCAACCAAAAAAAGAAGGAACAGTCCCTCTCACATGAAGAAAAACAACAGCAGAGAGAGTTATGATCAGTCTATTATGCCGTGCAGCCACTTACTAAGTGCTCATCAATAGAGACAGATTTAGCAACTCATGCAAGTCATTTCCAGTAACAGAAGTAGGCAGTGGGCTCAGAGACAGCACAGCAACAAAACTGCTCTGCCTGAAGGAAGGCATTTCCATCAGCCAGACTTCCTTGCTGTCAGCTGTGACACAAGCAGGCCATGCAAATAGCCCTCTTCCCTCTTGGTGTTGCGTGCGTGCAGAACTTAGGCTTTTCTGTTCCCGAATTACATAGCCCTGCAATCTGGTCTGACCAGAAATGTCTGTCTAAAAGGATAAACATATTAAGATTTAGGTCCAGTCTGGGCTTGAGACAGGAACGACAATCTGACTTTATATAACACACAGGCAGATTTCCTCACTGGAAGAACATTTACAAACTTCAGAGTATTGTGGGCTGTCCTGGTGCTGTTGCACACCCCTTGCTGAGCCTTGAGCTTGAGCACGGCTGTGGCTGTGCTCACATCTCAGCCTTGGACAGAGTGGGCAGGAGCTGAACTCTGAGCTGCCTTTGGGCCCTTGCGCTCCGCCTTGGCACACAGCTCCTCTGCCCGGTGCAGACCCTGGAGACAGATCTCCATCCCCAACCCAGTACCGCCACAGAGGCCCTGGGACTTCCCTCTAGCCCAGGTACAGAGCATCAGAACACTGTTTTCCCACTCTGCTGAAAAATGATAGCTAATGAGCATAGAAAAAATAGTCTGGACACGAGTTTCTGACAAAGCTTTAGATAGTTTAGAGAGCACCAGGCATACACAGCTCATGGTTATGCTCACAGCCCCCACATCCTCATGAATCTGGGTGGTCTTTGTCTCAAATCAGACCTTTAGTGAGACCAGGGGATTTCCTTTCCCTCTGGTGTGCATGGTTTCTTCTTCTCCTTAATATGAAGCTTACTTCAACAGTTGTTAACTTTCTGCAGCTGCCTGTCCTTTCTCTCTTACTCTGCATGAAGTGTCTTGAGCTAGATCGCTTCCACTGAGCTCATCAGTCCTTTTTATCATCCATCAATAAAATTCTTCCCTCGATCGCTGCAGTTTAGTTGCCAGCACCCTGGGCACTACACAGGTGGATTTCTCTCTGCTGGAGCCAGCTCGTGGTCCCAAGGTCAGTCAGTGTGAATGCAGGATCATCAAGGCTGAACAATTCTCCTCTGTCAGCCTGATATCATAAGACTTCAGAGACTTTTTTTTTTTAATCAACATAGAAACAAAAAGGCAATTGGAAAGGCATTGGAAGCCAATATTCAAAGTGGGTTTGCTGTGCGACACAAATACAGACCCCAGCCCTTTCTATCAAACAGACTTGATAAACCATGGCTAAACACTCCCACAAGCATCATGCAGATCACCTCTCTTCTCTGCCTTCACACAGCTCTACGCCCCGTGACAAGACAGTGCGTGACATTGACACAGGCCAACGCACTTGGCCACGGTCAGGAGCGTCTCCGCGGGACGCGACGCTCGCGCCTGCCGGGTGCCGGTTCCCCCTGCGCCCCAGGTGCGCTCCTTCTAGTCACGGCCTCTCCCTCCATGCACGGCTCTCGTGCTGTTTTAGTAAGACTAAGCTTTCTACTGCTTTCATCCCTCAAGGTGACATTGCAATTTTGGAGCATGCCAAAGCAAATGGGAAGCCAAGGTTTTTGAAGAGCTGGCTGCTCTCTCTCCCTTGTGACTGTAGGGACTCTCAAGGACACACCAGGAGTGCTGCAGTCCAAGTGGCATGTGTGCACATCTACGGGGTTTATGTAAATCTGAAGGCAGCAAGGCTATGTTTTGAAAACTGTATTTCCTGCTTTCCTATAATATTTATGTTTTCAGTACACCTACTATGATGGGGCACTTTCTATTGTTAGAGCCTCCAGATGTTTATAACAGTGCAACTAATTGCCTTCTATTTGAACAGGAGTGCTTTTGCCACACTGATATAGCTCACAGAATAGGTGAATTCTGTTGGTGCTCTTGGAGTGGGAACTCTTTGTTCACTATAACTACGTGAAATAGGTACTTTTCTTTATCGTGCTGTCAGGGCCTGATTTTGGAAAGGTGCCTAAGCATGTACCTAAGCTGTCTTTTGCTGTGTATGCTTGCCTTGCACATAAACAGGCGACTGAAAACTGAGCACACAAGAATCAAAAGTAGGTTGCATCTATTCTCATTTATAGCTTAAGGCACTTGCCAGAGCCCCTTCTATACTCAATGGATGGGGGACATTTTCATGCCACTTAACCTGCTTAGCTGTCTTAAGGTGGAATTACTTGCCTTCTGGATACTCCTGTCTCTCCCCACTGACTGTGGGAGAATTTTGGTTTAGACTGGACATCTAATTTAGAGAAGGACAAGGCTCAGAAAGCTGAACTCCCTGCCTAGGGATTATGCAGAAGTCCAATTTCTGAGAAAAACATTTTAGAGTCAGTAGAAGTTTCCTAAATGTACAAATTTCTCCTTTCTTTATGAAATGAAGACAGTATAGGAGCTGTGCAAGAATTGTTTTAGATTTTTGTGTCAGACAAAAAAATCTCTTAAGGTATTTCATAGCATCCTGTGCCAGGTTTTGCCTCATTGAAACTGAGAATGAGATTTCTCTTGGTATAAGAATAAAAAGTATCTTCATGCATGGAGAATTTCCACTAGCTTTCCAAAACGGAGGAGTCAAATTAAACAGCGATTACTTGCTTTCCACAACATTACATTGGTGATCTCTTACACCAGTGGTTTCTTCTTCCTTCATATAAACTGATATAACTGAGATATTGTCTGAGTTCGCCCTCAGACAAGTAAAACTATGCAGTAACTCCTCTGAAGTTAAAGAAGTGATATAAGCCTAGAGTCTATAAATACAAAATCAAGCACAATACAAGTGCACTTAGTCAGTACTCGTGTCGTTCAAAGAGCGTATGGTGAGATTTGCCTTCATTGCAAGGCTCAAGCGGCTGAAGTACAAAGTGGAGCCAAAATGGATAGTGCTGCCCTTCATCCTGCAGAAGCAGACCCCCCCCTCCTCCCCTGTGTTGGCACAGTACTTGTGGCTCTACAGTCAAACAAGTCAGCAAGCTGATCTAGTTGAAAACTTGCCCTAGAAAAGTAGCAGATAGTTTTTCAGCTGGGTAGGTGGGCTGATCCAGCTGACTGCAAGATTATACAGGCACTAGCACGTCCTTTCCAGCACTTGGGTTTGCTGAAGCTGTGCAGTGAGATGTAGGTGTAGAAAGTAAAAACAGGAACTTTTCCCAGCAAATGCTTCAGGCAAATCTCAAGACTGTTGTACTGAGAAGAGAACCCATAAAAGGTAATTCAATAAATTAAAACTAATGGGTAAATTGGCATGGTGATATCTGGCAGTGGAGCTAAAGGAAGCACTTTGAAACATTAATTCTTCATGAGGAACACAAATATTACTTTGACAGTTCGGTGCTCAGGAAGGTGCATCAGGAGTTAGTGGCTGCTAGTGACTTCTTAGTTCCTTCCATCCATGCTTTTGGCACCTACTTGCTGCCAGGATGTTCACAGTGCAAAGACAGAAGCACTGTCTTCAAGAGTTTGTGGCTTCTTCCCCTTTAGCTGAAAACAGGACACCAGCATTAGCCATGAGAGAGCTGGTGCCTATACAGTTGTGATCGGTCACTTTAAAACAATACCATTTTTTAGAACAAATAATTTCTTTCTTATGACTAGCATGAGGGGATCCTGGCCTTGTAGGTGTTATGGAAATGGAAATTCAAAAAGAGACTCCTAAAACCATACACTCAAAGATGTATGGGCAGATTTTGAATTTCATGGTTTGCTTTTTTTTTTTTTTTTTCTTTTTCAGTGTGAGCAAAGAAAGTGAAGCCCAGCAACTTTTCTTTTTCTTTTTAGTTCAGCTCATGTTTGCCCATTGAAAGTTTTTTTTGGCAAAAATAGACAGAATTTTGAGTTTTTCACACCGCCTTCTCAGCTTGTGAATTTTTCCTTAAGGCCAACCAGTCCCGTTTCTATACGCCTGTGCACGACCCTCAGGCAAACACAGTAGGATGGCATATTGAAAAGCTTTTAGCCTCTTGCTACTTAGCACAATCTCTTCAGCTGTTTGCACTGTTTGCACATCCTCTTGCGCCACTGGCAGTGAGAGCCTGCAGAAGTTTTCTTTTGCCTTTCTTTCCACACCCCCTCACACCCCCCCAGCAGTACTGCAAACACAGCAGCTTCAACATATTAAAAGAAAAGCGAAACCGAGTAGCCACTAAATTCCAAGTCTCCGCAAGAAAAGCTGTTTGTGTGAAACTGAAAAGGAGCCAGCGTATACCAGCAAGGAAGCTGTGATTTCATCTCACAGTCGAGGAGAAACTCTGAGGCTCCACTGCAGCAGCTTGTGCCGATGCAGCATCACTCGGATCAGCTCTGTATCACACACTTGCAGAGGGGTCCCCAGCAGGAGGGTGCTCATGTCATTTTATGTCGCTACCCATTTGCTTTTTAGCTCCAGTTCTCTGAGGATATCAGGTATGCTCTGCAGGTTTTTTAAAAGCTTTTATTCCTTGGATGCTTCATTTTCAAGGGAAGAGGGGGCTGCGTGGAAATGGAGAAGACTGCTGAAAGAAAGAGAGTTTCCCCAAGGAGGATCCTTCCCCTCGCTGTGGAGTGGTGGCACTTGGGTTCCCCCTGGAAGGAGGCGCAGGACGAATAGCGTGAGAGGAGGTGCCTGGCACATTTGCTGGGGATGCAGGTTGGTGCAGAGGCTGGTGGAGAGCTCTGCAGCCTGGGGATGGGAGTCCTGAGAGGCTCCACGGCTGGCATCCGGACATAAGCATTCAGGGGTGAGCAACATTTGTTATGTGGGTTACGGTGCTTGTGTGGGGAGTCAGATCTGAGGAGCGATAATCGCGTTTTGATATTTGTGCATCACTTGGCAGGAGGGCGAGCAGCCAGGGGAATGCTGGTGGCTTGAAGGAGATGGAGAAGGTTCAGGAAGATATGTGCTGGGTTGGGGAAACACTGAAGATTATAGTAAACTCATTTACACCAGTGTGACTCCAGAGTGACTCTGCTGAAGCAGTAGAGTCATGCTGACAAAGCTGTGAACAGGATTTGGCCTTCTAAACAGAAAATGAGAATATTTGGCAGAGGGCCTGGAGGGGTGCTGGGAGCTACTCTCTGAATGTGTAAATGCATGTGTTCCTTAAAAAGCCTGTGCTGGTTACTGGATGTGTGTCTGAAGCACTCTGAGAAAGAATCACCTTTCATATGAAACAAAGAACAGTTGCATTTCAGACAGCCACTGGACTGAATTATTTAATGCAACTAAATAACTATAGCGCTCTACCGAATGGGTTACATAAAACTGCACAGCTGGCTTCCTTCCTTGCCTTGAATTGACATTTTTTTTTTTCTGAAAGCGACATTACAGCCTCAAATCATTGACTTGAAGCAATGCTCAAGACATTTGGAAAAAGAGCAGAAAACATAATAAGGCAAGTGTTGAAAGGAACTTACATAATGCTATCAGAGTGGTTCAGATGGAAGCACGGGCTGCTGCTCTTTGTGGGGAAAAGAGAGAATCTGCAACACACTTGTAGCTCGCTTTGTGCCTGATTGTGCCTTCAGAGCTGGTGCTTGGCCAAGAATGCTAATTTGGAGAAAGTACCTTCTCAAGGAAGCTAGAAAAGCACAAGGATGGCACGGTACTGTGTATACCTCATGTGCTGCATTTGCTCCGAGACACTCAGGGCAAACCATGTATATAATGTACACTGGCTCTCTCTTGTACCCCTTTGCTTTCTCTGTATTATCACTCTTGTCAAATCCATCCCCTGTATACTGAGGCCAGTATAAATACCTACAAGGAACCAAATGCTTCTTAATATCATTACCCTGGGACTGCTGGGCTTTCTACAGGTTTGTCCTGTTGACCCCTGTAAGAACAGCCCTAGGAAAACACTCACATTTATCAGGCTAAGGCAGCTCCAAGAGTGAACTGTGACAAGCAGGGAACCATGCCTGAACCAGCGGGGCCTTTCCATGTCGGTAATCCAGCTCTCGTGATCTCTCCCGACACCATGTCTGTGTGTCCTACATGGGAGATATGCAGAGACGCAAGACTCCCATGCTGGAGGCATATTTCAGAGGAGCTCTCCCATCGCTTTGCATCCGCTTCTGCCGATAGATGTGGAGCACCTTGAGCGTTTCCTTCAGGAGCAAGTTACACCTACCTGCTCTTGTTGTGTCCCCACAACTGTCACTACTGCTCCATTGCGGTGGTGCCTCGTGGAGAGGTCGACTCTCAGTGTTGGCTGAACCGTAGGGGATTAGCAGCACTGCTGTGGCCAGGCACAGTTTGCTTTGCTGCTACTCGTGGAGATGGATTGCAGCTTCTGACGGTGGGGACAACCTGTGCTCTACTCAGAAAATGTTTGTAAACACTGAGCATCTACCTTTCCTTGGCTGCCTCTCCTTCTCCAGCAAAGACAGTTCGCTAAGAAATTCATGGCCCTCTTACGGACAATTTGTCATTTCACACTGCAGATCGCAAAGGTTTGGTTACTCCACTGGGGACTGGAAACAAAATGATGATTAGGCTGCAAATTAAAAATCACAGGGAGAAATACAGGCAGAGTCCTTTGCAACAGCAGAAAGGTTTTAAACAGATTGTTTTGTTTATAATTATGCTCTGTTAATATAGCTGTAAAAATCACAGTCAGATTGCCAGAAAATTATCACATTTATCTGATAGTTTATTCATAGTGTTATGATTTAAAATATTCTATTGTTTATCCAGATTATCTACTTTCTTAAAAAGACATTCACCAAAACTAATCAATACAGGGCAACAGCACTTTTTGTGGAAGACAGTGTTTTGCGGTTGAATCTCTCTGATGCTATTGTTAACTGTATTGAACTGAAATGTAGAAAAGTCCTGCTTTAAAAAGGCAGCAAAAGCTTTACGTTTTTGTTTTGTGGTCTGACCTGAAGTAATCACAGAGTACTAGAAATACAGGACAAATTGGTAGAAAAGATAATACATAATGTAATCAGTAGGTTCAGGATGTAATGAAGAAAAAAAAGGCCTAGCTGTTGTGGAGAAAATAATGTCTTACAGATCTTATGTATTTTTGCAAGGGAGGGGAAGGAGGAAGAGGAGAAGGGGGTAACCAGTCAAGTTTCACAGGAATCTGGAGCTAGGCTTGTGTTGTTTGGCAAATTCATAAAGTATCTGTCAAAGGAAGAGGAGTTTGAAGTGAGAGAATATGCTGATGATAAGCTATTCTGGTTTACACAGATGAAAATCAACTGTAAAAAAGGATTTCAAGATACGAGTTGTTGGGTTAAAAATGGCAGGGAAAAAAAAAAGACGAAATACTGAATTATTCTCTTGAAAAAGATATCCAAGTTATTATACATAGTTTTATAAAGTTATTAGCCCAGTGCTCAGTGGTGGAGGAAGGAGCATTAGGAATTTTTACAGGAAGAAGAAGAAACCATAACCATACCAGGCAGGAAACTCATGGTGAACTCGTAGTATCCTGCAAACTGTCTGTAGCTCCAGACCTCTCATGCCAAAAAAGACTAAGAAAAGGTACAAAGAAGGACAAGAAACATTAAAACAGCTTGAGTTTCTTACATACAAAGATTTGATAATGGGCCATAAAATCATGAGCATCACAGAGAAAGGAACTAGAGAGTAACCGTACATTGTTTCACAGAGCAGAAGAACCATTGGAAAACAAGAGAAATTTGCACTGGACAGGTCTGAAACAAACAGAAAAAAAAAGATGCTTTCTAAACAGATGAGTAAATGGACTTTGGAATGCTGTGCAACCTTGTGAATGTCATGGGTCTAATGGGTTCAAACACCTACTGGACAAACTAATGGAAGAAAAGTTAATCAGAGTCTATCAAGCACAAAGATACCGTGTCTATCCCAGATTGCAGTGAGCTGGAGCACATACTAAGTGTCACACTTGTGCTTTTCTTGTAGTTGGGTCTAGGTGATTGCGGACGGTCTCAGCTGGACACATGTTGCTGGTCTGGGTGGCTCTTTGCTGTGACCCAATCTGGCTGTTTTTAAGACATGACTAGAATACAGCAGCCATGGACATATTCACAGTGAAACAGAAAATGAAAGGTGTCCCCCTTTCCACAGAAGCAGCGATGACAAAAGGTTAGCTAATTATCATAAGAGTAATGAGCAGAATCAGAGTGCTTTGGTATTTTTGTTTTCTTGCAGAAAGGAAATGGAGAGATATAGCAGGAGTGGAAAGAGCTGGGTAAAATTAAGCAACACGAAAGCTTCACTAAGGCTTATCCAAATAAATATCCCCTATGTATAGTTTTTCATCTACTGCTCTGATAATATGGTCCTTCAAAAGACAGATTGTTATCATGACAAATACTTGGGGATAACCTTTATTATTACATACATGGATGGGTAAATCCATTTGAAAATAGCAAAGCAGGTATATGACAGCAAACCCACGTTCGGGGGGCTCTTCACGCCTCTACAGATTACCTAATTTTGGTTCTGCTTTTCCATTGTAAAATATCCACTCCATCCTAAACTTTTCATTCCAGTTCTCCTGCCAATATTTTAGGGAGCACAGGATGAAATCAGAAATTGTGCATAAGTGGTGTAAATAAGAAGCTACTATGACTTGTCCTCTGAAACAGTATTAATAATAAATAAATAAATACATACATAAATAGTTCCTTCTCTGAGGTAGCCAACTTCATGGTGTTTATACGGATAGGTAAAGTTACTGTGAATTGCAGATTAGCTTTTCATAGTGGATTAGGGCTTGAAGTAAGGTTGTAGTGAAGATAAAGAAGTTTGTATTTCCACCTGAGTTAGTAGTTCCAACTACAGACAAAGACAAACCTAACGGGACATGTGAAAACTGCAGTCTTTATAGAGATGCCCCCTCAGTTTCAGCAATTCAAGTTAAGAGCACTTCTTTGCCTATTTATTTGCTATAGGGCTATGCCTTAGACTTTGTTACAGATACATGACAGTCTTTAATTCTAAAGAGATTATCATATGGTGTAATTCATACATTCAAGAGCTGCAAGAAGGTGCAAATTAAAGCTCATAGTGCAGTGTATACATATATTTATATTGTTACATTCTTTGCATTTCTCATTAGGCTTCTCTGCTTCTCTGGAGTGTGAGTTAGTCATTCCTATAGGAATTGATTTCAAGCAAGCTTTGTTCCACCATGCAAACTCACTGCCCTAAATTCTAGTTTAGTCTACACTGCAAACTAGTGATTTACCACAGCTTCAAGCTGGATAAATTATATCTAAACAGGAAAGCGAATGTTCATCTAAGAAGACCCACTGATTCAGATCTGGGATAGATGAGTGCACAGTGAGGTGGATTAGGAACTGGCTGGATGGCAGAGCTCAGAGGGTGGTGATCAGTGGTGCCAAGTCTAGTTGGAGGCCTGTAGCTAGCGGGGTCCCCCAGGGGTCAGCCCTTGGTCCAGTCCTGTTCAATTTATTCATCAATG